AGGGCCACAGGGCAGAGAAGCGATGGTCCCTCCACCCCCCCCTGCCCTCTGACGTGCTGGGACCTCTCCACAAGCCTCCCCTCTCCCCCCCCCCCACTGGTGTTGGAACCAGGACGCAAGGAGGCTAAGGAAGGGCCTGTGGGGCCGTAGGGCCCAGGGTTTAGGCAGACATTACAGCCTGTAGATTGGGAGTCCCGGACCCTGCCTGCTCCCCGCGTGCCCTTCCCCAGGGCAGGGGCATCCTGGGGTGGGTGGTCCGGGGCTGGGCGCCCAGGCAGAGCCCAGCTCTGAGCCTCGGCATGCGGTGTGCACAGGTGGTCTTTCCCTTGGTGATGACGCTCTTTGAGCTGGCTCGGAACCCCGCTGTGCAGCGGGCCCTTCGGCAGGAGAGCCTGGCTGCCGCGGCCAGCATCACCGAAGATCCCTACAAGGCCATCTCGGAGCTGCCCCTGCTACGGGCCGCCATCAAGGAGACGCTGAGGTACGCCCTGCGGCCTGCCCAGGCAGGGTGACCCCTGTGGTCTCTGGAGGAGAAGCAGAGTGGGGGCTGAGAGACCCTCGCCCCCTCCCCCCGCCTCCCACCCCCCCGCCAGCCCCCTCCTTGAGGGGTGGGCGCTAGACCCCCCCGACCCATTCTGCATCCAGCATCCCCCTGGCCAACTGGGGTCCTTGGCAGGGGAGCAGAGGAGCCCTCACTGACTGCCAGAACCCGCTGGCCGGAGGAGTGGGGTGTCTTCCCGGGGTGGGAAGGTGCAGACCCCGTCCGACTGCTGTCCCATTGGCAGGCTTTACCCCATCGGTGTCACCTTGGAGAGGGTCCTGCACTCCGATGTGGTTCTTCAGAACTACCACGTCCCAGCCGGGGTGAGTGCGCCCCACCTTGGCTCCGCCGCCGCCGGGGACTCATTCCAAGGGCTCTGACGCCCCTTCTTTGCCTCCGTGCAGACTGTGGTCCAGTTTTTTCTGTACTCCATGGGCCGGAGTCAGGCCGTCTTCGTGAGGCCTGAGCGCTACAACCCCCAGCGCTGGCTGGACAGCAGGCTGCGCTTCAGCCACCTGGCCTTCGGCTTTGGGGTGCGCCAGTGCCTGGGGCGGCGCCTGGCCGAGTTGGAGATGGTGCTGCTGCTTCATCATGTGAGCCGGTCGGGGTGGAGCCTGGGGTGGGGAGGGGCTCCCCAAACAGGGTGTGGGGTCATAGCTGCTCTGAGCCAGCACCCTGCTGGCTACAAGAGGAGATCCCCCAGAATTTCTGCCTCTGCTCTAGGTGCTGAAGTCCTTCCAGGTGGAGACTCTTCAGCAAGAGGATGTGACCATGACCTTCTGCTTCCTCCTGAAGCCTGTCTCCCCACCGCTCCTTACCTTCCGGCCTGTAGCTAGCCCTTCTTCTCTCTGAGGGCCCCGAACACCTGCTGCCCATTGCCCTGTCCCCGTCTCCTCCCCCCACCCCAGCTTTGCCAGTCCCCTGCGGAAAGGAGACCGCAGGGCCCTCCAGGTTCGGGGTGGGAGGAGGGAGGGTGGCAGGCTGTACAGCAGGGCTGGGCGGGATCCAGGAAGCTTGGCTTTGTCCTCAGTCCCTCGGAACACTTCTCCAGCCAGAACTCTCTGTTGGGACACCGTCCCCACCCCTCCCAGAGGGCCTCTCACGCTGCCGACCGTCCTGGGCCCTCAAATCCTCCTATGCCTCCTGCCCAGCGTCATGCACTCCTGCCAATATCTCTCTGATTTCTCCTCATGAGTGTTGTGGTTTGTTTGAGGCTTTGGAAAGGGAGCAGAGCATTTGAAAGTCAGGTTAAGACTCCTCGGCTTGGGCCTGCCTTCCCAAGCCCAAGCAGGCGGATCGCAGAAGGGGCTGTGCACACATTGCAGCTGCAGGGCCTGGTCCCCTGCCAGGCACCGTCTCCCCTGCCTGACCCGCAGCAGATCGCTCTGTGTGTGCCTCAGAGGCCATTCCACCGCCCCCATCCCTGAGGTCGAGGTGTCCAGAGCTCAGCTCACATGTTCTTTTTTTGACATTTTCTTTTTTGAGAGAGCTTCTGCACTCACATGCTGTGGTCAACACACACGCTCCAATGCAAGGCAGAGTCCGAGACGGGCAGAAGTAAGGGCAGCAGCATGCAACGCAGACTGGCCGCCACCCTCCCGTGGCTCGCTCTCACGCCACGCATGCCTGCCGCCTCCCTCCTCCTGTGGTCCATCACACCACGCATGCCTGCCGCCTTCTCTCCTCCCGTGCTCTGCTCTCAAGGGCTACAGTTGCAAACCTGCAGCTGTCAAACCCGCTTCTTGGGGGGTGGGGAAGAGGGAAGTGGGAGTGGGGAGCTGGGAAGGGATGGGAAGGGGAAACAAAGGAGGAGGGAACAACGCTTGATAAGAAATGTACTCATCACCTTGCCCATGTAACTGTAACCCCTCTGTATGGTATTTTCACACACACACACACACACACACAAAACAAAAAATCCCGCTCCTCATCATGGTCTCGATTCTTCTCCTGCCCCCGGCATCACTAGGCATCACCTTCTCTGGTGCCGTGCTGGGGATCCCGGCACTCCGCACACCGGCAGAAAGCCGGTACAAATGCTACAGCTGGCACGCTCTCCAGGGAAGGGAGGGGCTGTGGAGTCGCTCGGGAAGAGCGCTCGCCTGGCAAGTGTGAGGCCCTGAGTTTAGTCCGAAGCTCTGAAAAAAAATTTAAAAAAAAGACTTTCTTAGCTGGACAAAGCAGCGGATTTCATTTCTCCAAGAAAGGCTAATAGGAGTCCATCAAGCACAAATGGAACCAGCTCCTACACCGCTGCCCAGCCCCGTGCCAGTGGCCCAGGCAGCCCCACTCTCCCCGGGCATCCTTGTCCCCGGCTATGGGGGACTTCAGGAGGACATCCACATGTGTCCCTGCTCTCCTCTCTGCACCTGGGGGTGAGGGTCAAGGCCTTCGTTGAGCAGGGTGAGGAGCAGGGAATGCTGGCCTGGGCATGCTCAGTCTGATTTCAGGGCCCAGGCCTGTCTGTGGGGTTCTCTGGAGGTCCCTGGGTCAGCGTGGCTGGAAGCATCCCTCACACAGCGAGAAGTCAGCAGTTCTTCTTGCTGACTCCTTTGCTCACCAAGAAGTCCTCTGTGTGCTGACAGTTGGTCTGGGGTCCTGACAGCCCCTTTGTTGGCATATGCTGTTCCTGGGTATCTGAATGTGAATGAGCCCCTGAGCACAAAAAAACACCCAAAGGTGGGCCTGGTGGCTCCCACCTGTAATCCCAGTTACTAGGGAGGTGAAGATCCCGAGTCTCTCAGTTCTAGGCGGAGAGGAGTTTGGGAGACCCTGCCTTCACAAATAAGACAGGACTGGATATTCTCAGGAGAAGATCACAAAGGCTCAATAGCTATATGCATATGATCATATAAAATGATGCTCATCAAGATGAACTCCAAGAAATGGAAAGGAGGTTTTTTATTTTACTTTTGGTAGTTTTTTTATTTTGTTTTTCCCCCCTTTGTCACTGTTTTTTATTTCTTTTGTCTTGTTTACCTGATTTGGGGTGGGGAAGGGGAAGCACAGAAGAGGTGGGACAAAGAATGAATTAAAGGCAGGCACCAATGGCTCACGCCTGTGGTCACAGCTACTCAGGAGGCTGAGATCTGAGGATTATGGCTCAAAGCCAGCCAGGGCAAGAACGTTTGTGAGACTCATCTCCAATGAACCACCAGAAAACTGGAAATGGCGCTGTGGCCCAAGTGGTAGAGTGCTTGCCTTGAGCTGAAGAGCTGAGGGACAGCGCCCAGGCCCAGAGTTCAGGCCCCACAACCGACAAAAAAAAAACAAAACAAAAAAAGAGTGAATTAATTCAGCAGTGATACTCACTAGACACTATGTTGAAAATGAACTATGTGGAGGAGGGCTGTTGGGAGGAAAGAAATGGGGGGAAATGATGGAAGAGGTGACACTATTAAAAAACAAATGTACTCAATACCTGACATGTCACTGTAACCTCGCTGGACAGCTTTACAATAAAAATTTTAAAAATTAAAAGAAAAGCCAGGTGCCGGTGGCTCATGCCTGTCATCCCAGCTACTCAGGAGGCTGAGATCTGAGGATTGCGGTTCCAAGCCAGCCCGGGAAGGAAAGTCCTTGAGACTCATCTCCAATAAATCACTCCCTGGGAGTGGCGCTGGGGTCAGTGGTAGGTAGAGCACTTGCCTTGAGCACAGACCCGGAAGAGGCGTGGCCTGGAGTGCTAAGGGATTGGCCGGAAGAGGAGGGACCATGAGTCAATAGAGGGGCCAGGAAGAGGAGGGGCCAGGAGTCCTGAGGAGGGGCTGGAAGAGGCGGGGCCAGGGGTCCTGTGGGAGGGAGGGGCAGGGAGAGGCGGGGCCAGGGGGCCTGTGGGAGGGAGGGGCTGGAAGAGGCGGGG